ATAAATATAATAAATATATATTTATTTAATTCTAACAACCATGATATGAGGTAGATGCTATTATTAGGCACATGTTATAATGAAAAAAAACTGAAGCACACAGCAATTAAGTAATTCACCCAAGGTTTCCAAAGGTAGCAGAACAGCAATTTAAGCCCAGGAACTCTGGCTCCAGAAACAAAGATCAAGATTGGTAGAACTTTGCAAATAAGGGTATGAATGGAGGGAGATGAATGAAGAAGTAGAGGTCAGGACACAGAAGTCCCTATACGCCGTGGTAAAAAGTCTGGATTCTATTCTAAATGTAACGGGAGCCACTGGAAAGTTTTAAATGAGAGTTGCAAGATCTGATTTCTGGTTTAAAAGGATCACACTTTAGCCATTAGGTCCAAAATAGACTAATTGTAGGAGTAAGAAGAAGGCAGAGAGATAAATTAGGGGCTACTATGGTAGTCCAGGCTAAAATAATGAAGGTATGCATTAGGGTTATAGCCTTGGAAATGGTAAAAAGTAATCCAGAATTGGTGTGTACTCTGTAGGTTGAGTCAAGAGAATTTTCTGATAATTGAATCTAGATTGAGAAGAGAGAAGAAATAAGAATGACTCTTAAATTTTAGTTATCAGAATTCCAGAGTGTTGGTATATCAATTGAAATAAATTTTTAGAGAACTACTCAAATTAAGTCCTGGCTAGGGCTTGTCACTTATCATAGGCAAAAAAAAAAAAAAAAAAAAAATTTAAATTTTTTGAGAACTTGGCTTCTGCAGGAACAATGGAAGTGAAGAGTACACCCAAACCTGCCATTTGCTGTAGAAATCAATGGGTGAAAAAAAGAACTGACAGGTAACAAGTCTATAGAAGCATTAGAGCTACTCAGTTCAGTGGGTAGAATATTCATCTTTTAATCTGATATTAAATCTGTGAAAACTTCTCAGTTTCTCCTTTTCAACTATAATACGACCTCCTGAAGGTCAGATATCCTATCACTTAATTTATAGCGGAAACTCAAGCAATGTTTGACAATGATAATGATAAATAATGATGAACTATAAAATGTGACAAAGTAAAACTGAGTATAAAATATTTTGTAGTAATTATCAGGCTTGGCCATTAACTTCTATGTTGCTCTGTTATTATAACATAGAAAGTCAATGACGGAATAATTTTTCCAGATAAGGTTATTTTAACCCTTTATACCTAGCAATAGAAACAAAATATTACTTATTTGCTTAGCTGAAAAGGAATAATAGCAATAATTAACTATAAATTCCTAAAAAGGCTATAATTTTAAACCACTATTATACAGTGGAACTGCAAAGAAGGTGTCAAGGCCACTATATTGATGGGTAACTAAAAGTTAGTATCTACAGTACTTTTGCCTTTATTAAAAGCAGTAACAACAATACCAAGATAGATCTAAACTGTCCGTAATGATTAAAGTGAATAATAAACAAAATTAGATAGTCTAGATTTCTCAATTTCCAATAGCAAATAATGTCTGGAGATTTCACATAATAGAATGTGAAGCCAAGGTAAGAATGCACATGAAGTGACAGAGATATTTAAACAGCTATGACTAAACTAGCACTGAGAGCTTTAAGGTTTCAGTTGTCTAAAGTACTCTTCATTCCCTTCAGTACTCTTAATACTAAAATTCATAATCATTTAAAGTTTATCCTTTTCATTGATGTCTGAAATTATATTTAATTACTAAAAGCTGAGACTTAACTACTCTAAGTATACTTACTCCCACCTTCCACTTTACCGACCAGTAATATTAAATAGCTTATAGTTTCCTTGCACATACCTTATTGTTATATTGAAAATCATGCTTTCACAACTTCATGTTTTTCACTATTTTAACAGCTTTTCTACTTCTTCGGCTTATATTTCAAAACTCACCTCAGAAAGCCCTTCTTAATTACTCCCCTTTTATTCCTTAACCAAATCCAATTAACTCTCCCTCTCTCTCAGTCCCCTTCTGTCTCTCCCTACCCACCATCACGATCCCATCATTTTGATGCAGACATTTACAAACAAAAGTGAAAGCATTCCTCCCATCTAGTTAACACATTCATCACCTCACATATTTATTTGTGTGTGCATGATGGAACATTTAAGTTCTACTTCCTCTGTAAATTTCAATTACACAATACAGTGTTATCGGCTATAGTCACCATGTTATACATTTGATCCTCAAATCTTATTCATCTTATAGGTGCAAAGTTTGTACCCTTTCCCAACTTTAGGGAGAGGTTGGTAAAAGAGTACAAACAGTATCTTTTTTTTTTTTTTGACGTAAAACATAAAATTTACCATTTCAACCACTTTAAGTGCACAATTCAGTGTCATTAGGTACACTTGAAATGTTGTGTAACCATCACAACTCTCCATTTCCAGAATCTTTCCATCATCCCAGAAACTCTAAATCCATTAAATATTAACTCATCATGTCCCAATTCCCCTGGCATCTGGTAACCGCCAATCTACTTTCTGTTTCTATGAATTTATCTATTCTAGGTACCTTATATAAGTGAAATCATATTTTTCCTTTCATCTGGCTTATTTCACTTAGCATGTTTTCAAGGTTCATATATCTTGTGACAAATCAAAATTTCACTTTTTTCAACAATGTCTAGTAGTTTTCTGTTTACAGTTCCTTTACCTCCTTTGTAAAGTTTACTTTGGATATTTTATTCTTTTTGTTGCAACTGTAAATGGGATTGTTTTCTTCATTTCTCCTTCTGATGTTTCATTGTTAATATATAAAAATGCACCTTTAATGTATTTATTGTCTTTAACAGTTATTTTGGTGGAGTCTTTAGAAAATTATCACCTGCAAAGTGACAGTTTTACTCCATTACCGATTTGGATACCTTTTATTTTTGTCTAAACGCTCTAACTAGGACTTCCAGTACTTCATTGAATAATAGTAGTGAGAGTGACTGTCCTTGTTTTGTTCCTGATCTTAGAGGAAAAGCTTGCAATTTTTCAACACTGAGTATATTAGCTGAGTTTGTCATATATGGCCTTTATTATGTTGAGGTAGTCTCCTTTTAGACTTATTTTATTGTGTGTTTTTTTAATCATAAGTGGATGTTGTATCTTGTCAAATACTTTTTCTGCATCTATTATTTGATTTTATCTTGTATCTTGTTAATGTGGTATATCACATCGATTGATTTGCTATATCCCCAAAATTTTGATGTCGTATTATCATTCTCATTGTCTCTATATATCTTTTGATCACTTCTTTTATTTCTTTGAGCCAGTTATTGTTTAGTATCATGTTGTTTAATCTACACATATTTGTGTGTTTTTTCCTGTTTCTTTTTGCCAGTTATTCCCAATTTCAAAGCATTGTGGTTGGAAAATATGCATGATATAATTTCAATCTTCTTAAATTTATTGAGACCAGTTTTGTGCCACAACATACAGTCTATCTTTGAGAATGTTCCATGTGCACTTTAGAAGAATATATATTCCATCATTTTGGGATGGAAAGTTCTAAAAATATTGATTAAATCCATTTACTCTAATGTGTCACTTAAGGCCGATATTTCCTTACTGACTTTCTGTTTGGATGATCTATCTATTGCTGTTAATGGGGTATACAGATTCCATACTACAATTGTATTTTTGTTAAGGTTTTCCCTATAGGTCTATTAGTAATTGCTTCGTATATATTTTTGGTGGTCCAAAGGTGGGTGCATATATTTTGGTGGGTCCCAAGTTGGGTGCATTGATAAGTGTTATGTCTTCTTGATGAGTTGTCACCTTTATCATAAAATGTCCATCTTGGTCTCATTACTTTTTGTCTTGAATCTATTTTGTCTGATATAAGTATTGCTACCCCTGCTTTTCTCTGGATGCCATTTGCTTGAAATATCATCTTCCACCCTCTCCTTTTGAACCTATGTTTATCTTTGGAGCTGAGATGAATCTCCTGTAGGTCTTGTTTTTAACCCATCCCATTACTCTGTGTCTTTTGACTGGTGAATTCAATCCATTTACATTTAAGGTAATTATTGATAGATAAGGACTTACTCTAGCTATTTTATCTTTTGTTTTCTGGTTGCTCTGTATTTCCATTGTTTCCTTTCCCTTGCAGTTCTATTTTAGTTTGGTCATTTTCTATTATTTTCTCCATTTCCTCTGTTTTTATGTTTCATGTCTCAACTCTGAATTTTTGTTTTGTGGTTACCATTAGGTTTGTGTAAAATCTTTTGTACATACAATAGTCTTTCTTCTGATTTCCTCTTATCTTCATTCACCTGTACCTGTTCAGTAATTTCCTCCTCTCCTTTTGATTTTGTCACAAATTATCCCTTTTTATGTTGTGCATTTGTTACCAAATTGCAGTAAAGTTATTTTTAATGCTCCCCTTTCCCCCTTTAACCTTTATAATTAAATGCTTAATAGCCTATTTTGAAGTAGTTTTGCAGTTTTCTGCTATTAGTCATCTTACTCAAACTTTTATATTCTTTTGTTTCCAGTAAAAGAGCTCCTTTCAACAATTCTTGTAATGTAGGCCCTGCAGTGGTAAATTCTCTCAGCTTTTGTCTGTCTGGGAAAGACTTTATTTCTCCTTCATATCTAAAGGATAACTTTGCTGGATATATTATCCTTGGCTGATGGTTCCTCTTCCAATATTCTGAAAACTTCCTTTCACCCTCTCCTGTGTTATGTTTCTATTGAGAAATCTGATAATAATCTAATGGAGTTTCCTTTGTAGATTACAGTCTTTTTTCCCCCTGGCTACTTTGAGAATTTTTTTCTTAAATTTTTATGAGTTTATTTGAGTCAAACTGATGACATATATCAGCAAGCAAGATCTCAAATGCTCTGATAATTCTTTCTCCGTCATTAATTTTTGAGAGTCTAAATAAAATGTGTCTTGGGGGTCTTTTTGCATTGACATAAGTAGGTATTGTTAGCTTCCTCTATTGTACAGTCCAGTTTTTTCTATAGGCATGGGAAATTCTCATTAATTATTTCTGTTCCTTTCTATCTTCACCTTCTGGCATACTTATTTATCCTTATGTTCCTCTCTCTAAAGGAGTCAGATAGTTCATAAAGTTATTTCATTTTTTTTTTTTAACTCTTAGTTCTCTCTCTTCTTCCTGCTGGGTGATTTCTAGATTTCTCTCTCTTCCATCTGGTCTGCTCCTTTTTCGGTGCTCTCTAGTGTATTTCCTTTATTGAGTTCTTCAGCTCCAAAATTTGTTTGGCTCTTTTTTTTTTTTTAATAATTTTAATCTCTTTGGTTAAGTATTCCTTTTGTTAACTGACTTTATTACTGAGCTCATTAAATGGCCTTTCTGTGTTCTCTTATACATCGCTGAGTTTCTTCATAACTGCAATCTTGAATTCTCCATAATTTAAATAATCGTATTCCATGAATGAGTTTCGTTCCTAGAGACATTTCACTTTCTTTCTGTGTTCCCAAATCACCTTGGTTGTTTATGGTATTTGATGGATTGTTTCTCTGCCTGTGCATTTGCGGTAAAAAACCTTTTCTTATTTAGAATCTATTTTGCTCTCAACAATTCAGCAAGTTGACAGGTAGAGTACTTTCTTTTTGCTATGGTGCTTGAGAGTCTAAGATTTCTTTACCAGGTTCTGCCAGGTAGTGTGGGAGGGGGAGGTAAGCTCGCCAACCTGTGACTCCACTCCCTTCCAGTAACGGCTATCATCCTATTGTGTTGTTTAAAGCTTCCCAGCTTTCTTTACCAGGCTTTGTTAGGAATTGGACTCAGGGAGGCAAGGTCTCAATCTTGTGACTTCACTCCCCTTCCAGTAATGGCAGTTGGCACCACTGTATTATTTTAAGCTTCCCAGCCATATCCACCTGACTCTACCAAAATGGGGAGGGGTAAGGGAGATGCTTTTCTCAAAGAGAAATGGCTTCTGCCCCTCTTATGCACCAGGCCCTACATAGTGTGAAGCCTGATTTCTCCTCTGCTTCTGCTATCACTAGAGTTGCAGTAAGCTCCAAACTGCATCAGAAGCTGCTGTCCCTATCTTTCCTCACTTCCTGCCTCCCTATGTGTTCCAATATGCCCACCTTCAGATGTCCTAATGCATGGATTGTTCAGGCATGTTTGTTCAGCAAGGGATCCTTTGTTGAGTTGTAGTTGTCCCATTTGTTGCAAGTTTAAGGGGAGAAACAAAGGAGTTCTCTCACTCTGGCATGATGCTTCTGTCATATCCATAAATATCTTTTTATAACCTGATTTTGATAAAATATCTGAGCAATTCAGTAACAATGATATGATGATTAAAAATATTTATTCAATCATTTTCCATTAAACATTTACAGAAATGTAAAGTAATTGTTCATAAAAAATATGACAATAAAATTTTGTAAGAAAAAAATGGGTGATCTTACCTACAGTCTTGATTATTAATTAGTAATTCAAGGTTTTGGGCTGATGATGAATCTATCATGGCTGTCTTTTCACTACCTTGGAATGAAATCTTCAGAGATTTTGGTGCATAAACTGAATTTTGAATAAATTCAACGTATTTTAATAAAGCTGCAACAGCTGCAAGGCAGTAATACCTGTAAGGTGACCAATGGTACATCACTATAAATCTTTAGAATAAAAAAATTAATGCTATAAAAGATGTATTTTTATCTTAATATTAGGAAAATTATAAATATTTGCAGCATAGCACTGCTTAAGTTCAAAGAGAAAAAGAACACCGACTATTCCTAATTTTTAAAAACTACATAAAGTACCTCTAAAAACATAAATTTTCTGAAGTCTGACATTTAAAGGATACTAGATTTCCAATAAATCAAGTGTTAAAAGTCAACATTCAATAGTAATTTGTGTCAATTTTTGATGTACCAGTCTAAGTATTCAAATAATGCTGAAAGAGTCTGAGGTTTAACAGTGGAGTCAGGAGGTCCTGAAGAACAGGAAAGTACATTATGATCTTGGTGAGGGTAGTCATTGTGATTAACTGAGTAAACAAGTGAGCCAACTTGGCTCAAAGAAAGTGACCTATTTAGCACATTCTAAGAGATATCTGTTTCAAAAATATCATTCCCTGTCTCATGTTGAATCTTTTAGAAATAATGGTATGAAGCAATAGGAACACAAGCTTTAACTGTTTCACTTCTGTGCCCTCACACTCCTAGTTTACTGTAGCTACTTGAGCTTTTCACTCCAAAGTAAGCAACAATCATTAGAGAAATAATTTATGATTAATTTCTCCAAATTGGAGAAATTCTATATAAATTAAGTTAGCTAGATATGCCCTGTGTATAAGTTTTAACTATTTTACTATTTCAATAATTATTCACTTGTATTATGAGCCAGGCACTTTTCTAGGTGGTAGGAATACAGCAGAGAACAAAACAGACAAAAGATCTTGTCCTTGTGGAACTCACACTAAATATTACTTCCCTTAAGTTATAACTTACTTGGACTGAATCTCCATTAGGACAGTGCTGAATTCTGCTACGCATAACTGTTCAATGTATTCTAATCCTTTTGTTTCATTGAAGTATTTCCTTTGGACAGTAGTGAAATTAACATACTGAAAAGAAATTTTAATTTCCAAATAAATTTTAAGTTTAATGCACTTGCCCAAAACTTTTTTATTTTTTATTTTTTGAGTTAAAAAGAAAGTTTATTAGAAAAGGGATAACACTCAACAGACAGTGTGATCTCCTCTCGGAGGCAGAGAGTGAGAGGGACCAAAACTGCTTTCTTAAACACATAACTGAACATGAGCATGTCCCTTAAATATTATACAAAGTTTACTTTTTAATGTTCTCCAGAATTTAATAAAAACATTTCTAAGTTATTTACGAGAAAAAGAATAATTATCTGTCTTGTTAAGTGAACTATATAGTACAGTCTGGAGCTCTTATTAGAACATGCTCACATGAAATTTAACTGACTATATTAGGAATGATAATAAAAAATAAACATAAGAGTCTCTGCCTTCTAGTAATTTTATTCTACAGCCAACAATATCACACAGGTTTTATAATCAGCCTGATATACTGTATCATAATTGAGAATGAGTAGATCCTTACAATGTGCTAGCTGAGGAAGATGAAAACATCAATTCCACCTATCGAATCTATGAAGTGATATAAACCTGAGGTGACTTAAAATAAAGAAAAAATAATGAAATTTTTTAAAAAGAGAAAAAAACATGAAGTTGTAGAGTAAAAGGTATAACTACTTTGAATAAAATAGGTAAGGTAATATAATAACACTAAACTGAAAAAGCTGTAAGACTGAGAAAAATCATAAACATAATTTGTCATATGCTAAGACTGTTTTAACCGTTATGTCATTTAATCTTCACAATAATCCTATGGCATAATTCTGAAAAGTCAAGTCACTTCTGATATCACACGGTTAGTATGTGACAAAGTTGAAACTCGAATTTAGAAGTTTTGACTTACAAATTCCATGTTCCTGCCACTTCATGCTGCTTCTAATTTAATGAAGGTCTTTTTATTGTATGGTAATAATAACAGCAATATTGATTTTTCCTTCTGCTTGTGATACTTTTACCCCAAATACTTCCATGGCTTGCTATCTCACTCTATTCAGGAGCTTGGCCAAATGTAACCTTATTGGTGAGGTTATTTATGATTGCCCTCTCTAAAATATCAGTCCTCTAAGAGATAAATACTATTATTGTCCCTATTGTACTGATGAAAAAAATTGAAGCTCAAAGAAGTTAACTTGCATAAGGTCACTGAAAATCAGAATTTGCAAAAAAAAACAGTCCAACTCCTCTATTCTTAAGCCCTATCCTATATTGCCTTACATCTCAAGTGTAGTAAATATATATTGTTTTTACCTCTGGAGGACTCATCTATCCCACATTCTACATGGTTCTGGTAGGACTGTCATTTATAGTATTCTGTGACCCACAGTGAAAAGCACATGTCCTGGAGTTAATCAATTATAGTGTCTCTATCCCTAGAAAGAGTGATTAGCCTAACATCTGGGAACATGAACAAAAAAGAACCAGTTAGGATCCTTCCCTGGAATTTATATATGGACATTAGAAGAAAGAAGTTCTTTTTTCTCAGAGTTGGGTTAGCTGACATGACTTTAGCCTGGAACAATCAGCAATCGCCTTCTTTAAGCCTCATCGAGATAATCCACTGGCAGTAGAAACGAAGATGAAGGTGGAGATGAGAGAAGGAATAGCATCTATCCAACCATTTGACTTTCTATTTACATAAGCCAATAAATTTCCTTTTTTACTTAAGCTAGTTTAAAATGAATTTCTATTATTTACAACCAAAAACTTAGAATGCTTAATCAGAACAAAATAACAGAAGTTGGAGAACTATACATTAATAAGGGTGACGAAAACAAGTTAGAAATAATGAATGAAAGAAACAACAGATCAAGAATCTTGTCTAATAGACAACAGATTTACAAGAGGGACCATTTCTGGCAATGAGTCAAAGAGAGCTGAGCTACATAAGATCTCTAAGAGCACCACTACAAATCTTACATGAATGCAGATACTGTATATTAAGAACAAAAAAGAACTCATCGGACCCGAAATCTAGTTTGGTTCCAAAAGTGTTAAAGTCTAAAAACACACAAAATATGGTATATTGTGAAAATAATTTGAACTTATCAGGAATTATTCCAACTATGATGCTGCCTACTTCTTTCAGAAACAACAGCCCCCATCTCACAATGCAGGGAGATTTGCTAGAGGTAAGAGATAAACCACATGGTGGAAAGGCCCTTTCTGAGGGGAAGTGCACTGGTTGCATAATGTTCCAGAGCACTTATGTGTCACAGTCCCACAGATGGAGGCTAAAGTAGTAAGGTAAAGTGAGGTAGTACATACTAGGGGAGGCTGAAACAATTCTGTAATATACATCAAATTTCTAAAGGAAAAGTACTTGCTGATAGCTGCTATCCTCTAGAAGAACAAGAACTTCAATTTCAATTAGTCTGCCAGCACAATAAGTATAGTTTCCAGGAAACTATACTTAAGGAAATCCATGCTTTCTCTTAAGGGTGTGCCTCCTGTATACTTAAGAAACCTTATTACCTAAAACATTTTTCCTCTTAAAGTAGATAAAGGGTGCCAAATCAAATAAGTGGATTCCCTGTCATTTTCAGTATAAATATTAATAGTCCTTTAGATAAGAACTTGTATTTAGTGTGTACTACAGAGTACTAAATATGAAGTTACTCAAAATATTGTTCTTTAGAATAATATTACAAAATGGATTTTAAATAAATTAAAAAGATCTCAAATGTTACTAATGAGAATAAAATCACTTACCTTGAAATTTTCTGTGATCAGAGTAAACAACTTGGTTGAATTCCCCACAACACAAGCAGTATTTGACATTATTATTTCCAAAGGTGATAAAATTTGGAGTTTAGTGATCACCTAAAATCATTTGAATAATCAATTGCTCAAATGTAAGCTTAGGATTCTCTAAAACAAAAAAATGTTTCATATTTTTTCTGAGAGGGAAGTATTTAAAATTAATTAATAGAGATGCAAAATACAACTGTCCTAATCATATATTTCAATGAAAATGTATTTCTAATGATTGTATATTAAACATATAGCATATGTAAGTATAAAATATTATCATAAACATAGGCTATATTTTACTCATAATAGTTTGTATCATCTCTAAGCCACAAAAATTAATTTGAATTTATCAAATATGTATTCTTGAAATATTTTTTTAAATAAATTCTTCTATTCAGTATTTTTTTCCATCTCCATGAAACACATTCAATAGTCTAACTATGGTGATACAATCGATATGACCATACCGGTACAGCTTAGAAGTTCAAAAGTAAAAAAATTAAAGATGAAAAACATCTGCTTTATGACAATGCTTTTCACAATATAAGGTGTATTTCTTGGAACTACTCTAGACACAAAAATTCTTAGTCAGTTTGACTAACATTTCTGTTTCATAAAAATTTTTTCTTATTCTTTTTAAATTGCATAAAAATGTAAAGTACTCAAGAGATAAAGGTATTTAGGTGCATTTAGGTGGTTAGGTATATTAAAATTTTAATTATTAGGTAGAAAAAGGAAGCCTATGTACTGGGGAACTATAAAGGAGATTTAGAGAAAGGAATAAAAAAACACTAGAAATAAAATAAGATACTATCTTTTTTTAATAATAATAATTGGGTCAAATAACTTTTTAGAATATAGAAAGTAGGAGTAGACTACCTCTACTTGTTAAGTCACACAAATTCCCATGACATGAGACCAGTGGCCCAAATTACTGAGTAATAGGAAGTAAAGGCAAGAAGAGACTAAATTTCTGACTGATCTAAGAGATCAGTTTCCTTTAACTCTCAAAAATCAAATTCAAATACGGTTTGGTGGAAATAACATTTTGAAGATAGCATTATTACATATATTATCTTTGGATGAGTCCAATAATTATTAAAGATATTAATTATAGAAAATAATATTAACAGTAATTTGGAATGTTTAAGTAACAGCAAAGCACAATTTTTACAACTATATATACTAAAAAAATTAATATCATTTGTAAAATAATTTTATCTTAATTCAGATTAACATAGTAACATACTGAATAACCTGTATTCTACCAAAAAGTAAACTAATTAGTGAAGTACTGACTTGAAAATCTGCATAGTGTCCACTAGATCAACCATTATCTAGGATTATAAATTCTTACCTTTGCATATGTTGTGTTGTCTGCAAACTGAGATAATACAATTTGTGGGCTTTTTAAATCAATACTTGCCATTCCTATTTCACCTCTGGCAAGCCCTCTCCCTTCTACGACAGCTACAATAACTGATGAGGAGTGTACAGAAACTGCAGATGAGGATGTAGCCGCTAAAAAATTTTTTTTAAAGAAATGTAGAAACATTAATAATAATTTCTTGTTTTTCCCTGAAGATCTCACGGCATCAAGACTAGGACATGGCTATTAATGTCCAAGAAAATAATCCAGACCAAATAAAAATGTTAATTCTTAAAGCATTTTGCTAAAACTTAACTTCACTTAAGAATCAATAAATTTATACATTGTCTTACTTTGAATTTTATTGAAATGAAATCATTAAAGAAACACTGAATTTGGGATTAGAAACCTAGATTATCTTACTCTGTCATAAAAGCTGTATGATTTGAGCAAATCATTTCATAATAAATTATCACAAAATACAATGTAATAACTGCCCTGCCTAACTCAAGAGCTGGCTGAAAGGATCAAATAGGATTATATATACAAACGCATTTTATAAAGTATAAAACACTATACAACTATAAACTCCAATGATGAGACATCTGTGTAATGGATATTTTATTAATGTGCCAAGAATGTTCTAAGTTATTAACTCAGATTTACTCATTTAATTATCATAACAATTCTATCAAATAGACATCAATATTTTCTCCATTTACTTATAAGGACACTGAGGCATAGACGGAACTGGTAGAGTCAGAATTTGTACCCAGGCAGCCTCGCACCTGAGCCAGTGCTCTTACCCACTACAAATGTTATACATAGAGACTGAGTTTATATTAGATCTACAGAAGTCGGCTTAAGTTCTGCAAAAGAATATGACCTTCCTATTTTTAATTGTAAAATAAATACCAAATTCCAGTGGAAATTCAGTATACTCAAAAGACATTTCCTTTAAACTCCTAAAAGAAAATTTAGTTATCTCTGTTATAAATTAATACTATAATGAGTATCCTTATACATAAAGCTTTTTTCTGGGTCTATTATTATTTTCTTAAAGTGGACCCTTAAAGTCAAATAAAGAAAAACCACCAATTTTAAAAGATCTCATATATATTGCCAAATTTCTTTTCAGAATTGTAATAATTTTTAATTCCATCAGCAATATATGAGAAAAAACAATGTTACAGTATTCTTACCAAAACTGACTTCTGAAATGTATTAGTATAATCGGCTATTAGACAGGTGCTTAAATTTACATTTTTAAAAATTACTATAAAAATGGAACATAATTTTAACATCTGTTTTCTGTATTTTCTTTTGAGATGTTTATACCTTTCTAATACAATTTTTACTAAGTCTTAATGATTTCAATGTTTTTATGAGAACTTTGTAAGTCAATAACAAAAATTAATAGTTACTACCCTTTTTTTATATCTCAAAGATGTCTCCTTTGTATAGATAATATCTTCCTTTATTGCTTTTCTAAGAAACTCCTCCACTGAAATATTTGCATTACTACTTCCTTCTTATTTTTTTGTTTTAGTTTCAAGTATACAGTACATTGGTTAGACATCTATATAGTTCATAAAACGATCCCCTCAGTTGCACCCTCCCTCCCCTGACCCTCCATCTAGCCAACATATTAATGCTAACTGCTTCCTTTATGCTGTGCTCCCCATCCCTGTGACCATCCATCAGGTTCTAATTTGTACTTCTTTAGCCCTTCATCCCATTCTCCCAGGTCCCCAAAGCCCCCTCCACTGACGCCAAATTGTCCATTATATTTGTGAGTCTGTTTTTGATTAGTTTGTTCTTTTTGTTCCTTAGATTCCGCATATAAGTGAAATCATATAGTGTTTATCTTTCTCTATCTGACTTAAATAACTTTTAGGTCTGTCAGAGCAATATCTTTTCCCATCCTTTTAGTCTGTGTGTGTCTTTTAATCTGAAGTGAGTCTCTTATAGGAAACATGTAAGGGTCTTTTCTTTCCATTCATCCACTCTATCTTTTAGTTGGCGCACTTAATTCTTTTTCATTAAAGGTACTTATTGATAGGAATCTAGTTGTTACCATTCTTTATTCCTGTTTTTGA